CCGCCTTCGGCCTTTTCTACCTCTGTCTCTCTACCTTCATTCATTGCTATGGCTTCCGTCGTTTTCTTTTCCTCGACAAGATGAAAGTATATTTAATGAAAATCATAATTTTAAAAAATAAATCATTATTTTTTACATTAGCTTTTAATACATGCCGAGAGAAATATTTTTCGACTGGTTGCCATTCATATGTTGGTGCTCATCTTTTAAGAGTATATATATACCTACTTTTAAGTGTCAAACAGTACAATACACAGGAGCTATAGTTGGATGGACCTTTAGGGTAATATCTAGGCTAGTTCACTGTCTTATTTCATAGTAGTGTCATATGGACACTTGTGGGGACTTTAGGTCGCGACGGACCACTTTCAACACTTTGTCATATGGCCATTAAGAGCTTGCAAATTTCATATTTGTAACTTACATTGCATATCAAGTGCTTGCTAAAATGGTTATTTGTGGATCGCAAGTTAAATGTTTTATCTAACTCATCTTATATTTTGTAAGTCCTTAAGAGACCATAGAAGGTTTCGATGAGGCTAATCCTTTACGAATAAACGAACAATGGTGCTATATGTTACGAATAACTCATCTTATATTTAGTAACCAACTCGAAACATGGAGTCCATGTTGAATCTCGGATTTTGATGGTGAAATCAATTGATGAAGTTATGATATAATCAACGTTCGAGTGATGTAGGACTAACTTCGATCATAGAAAGATAAATTGATTGAAGAAGGAAGAATCAGATGTTGGGCTGGAGTGGAACATGTCAGAAGAATAAACATCGGGTCGGAGGACCGACCGACATGCTAGAAGGATTTCGTGTCATGAGTTTGAGCATTGGGCTAGAAGGATCGGACATTGAACCAAGGAGATCGGATGTTGCGGGAAGTCAACATGCCGATGGTCGGACAATACGTTGAAGGAGAGTGATGTATCAAAGGATCAGATGAAGCACCGGATAAACCAATAACATGCCAAACAACATAAGATTCACGCTTGTAATCATGTATGTTTAGATCAAAATAGTCTATATCGAATTGAGTTAGTTTTGTGTATAACTAGATTAACAAAATTAGGGAACCATTGGGCCTGATTTAGGGCTAAGTTGGGCTCATTCAGTGACCTAGGGTTAGATCAGGCGATGGAACCGCTTATGAGCTGAAAAAATATGAAATATACTTCTTCTAAAAAACCAGGCAGTGGTTCCACCGATGTCAAGCGATGGTATCACCCAGTGTTAGTCTGTTAAGCAATAGTACCACCCAGAATAGGTGGTGGTAACGTCAGTTGTCAATCTAGCAGACGGTGGTACTGTTAGTATCCCGGAAACCCGGGATGAGATACATTTTAGCTTCATTTTTGAAGTTATTTAGGGCCTATATATATCTTACTCTTTCTAGCTTATAAAGGAAAGATAAGAGAATGAAAACTTGTGTTTTAGAGTATGAAAACTACTATTCATAGGTGCCCAGGAAGCCAATTATGTGAGTGATAGCATGTGTGACTTGACACGTAGTCGTTTTGCTTATTATATTTTGACATTTATCACTTTATATTGACTATTGCATATATGCATGTATATATAGTCATGTCATTGGATCTATGCAATAGGAATCGGATCGTGATGAGATCACGATAATGAGACCAATTCACTTTTAAACATAAATCGTAAATAATCCCGGTCATAGGTTACTTGAGAGGGACATCGAGATAACCAGACAGACTGGTGTGCTATATACCCGTTCATATGATGGATGCAACTGATCTTATAGTTGCTCGTGTGGGGGCACTAGAGATATAGTAAAGGTGCTCATTGGAGAATTAGTTCATTGATTGATCCACTTACGAAATGATGGATGGTTGATGATACATTATTGTCAAATAGTGATTTCGTAGTCCTAGTGGTATATTTGGTCCTTAGACTTGAGACACCAAGGATGTCATGTATGAGGGCTCTATTCTTTGATACCGGACTTATAGGTTTGGATGTCCCAGATCTAGTACAACTGGCAATCGGGAGTGGCAGTCAACCTTACGAGGGCTATTGAGTGTCGATAGAGGATCATATACTCTCGATGTCATGAGAGGAATATCCCATGTATTCTTGCTCAAACAAATCCCTGACCAGGGTCATTCGGATTGAGAGAGAAAGAGTTCTCTGGGAGAATCCGATTAGAGCAAGACTCGAGAAGAAACCGTATGGGTTTGACAGCACCATGCCCGATATACGGTCTTTGGGATATTAGATGGATGATGGACTATAGGTACAGGGTAATTAAGGACAGACAGATCCAATGGATTGGATTCCCTTGTATCGTCTGGAGACTGCGGCGTAGTGACCTAGTACATCCGTAGTCGATGAGTCGAGTGAATTATTATGAAGATAATAATTTACTGAGCTAGAAGGAGTTCTAACAAGTATGACTCACGACCAGCTCAATATTGGGCATAAAAGGTCACACACATATGGTAGGCGTTACGATGAGTAGAGGTTCGGATATGAGATATCCGTCGGAGCCCCTATCTTATTGGATATCCAATAAGCCGCTAAATTATTGGATCCCATGGACGAGATCCAAAAAAAGCCCATGAGACATTATTAGATAGAGATCCACTAATCTAAGAAGCTTAAGTAGTTGGATAAAGATTTAATACCCAATAGAGGAGGATCCATTAGGGTTAAGTTGACAGGGGACCTCTATAAATAGGAGGGATTCATTGGTTCATAAGCTAGAGCTTTTGCTTGCCTCTTATATTCTCCTCCCCCTCTCTACCTCAAAGCATACCCGGAGTTTGGAGAAGCATCATCGCTGCCCTGCTATGTGAATCACCACTAGAGAGGAGGACACTTGTCCTCCTTCACCCTCTCCTAAAGATCTGCAAGGATTCAGGGATATATGATTTCCCTAGGTAATATAATCTTTACTATGCGTAGTTTTCTATTTTGTGGATTTTGCTCACCAATCTTCGCACGACGATAAACATCTCTTTAGGAATAGGAGATTTTGTTTTATGTTCTTCCACTATGCATGTGATGTCGCCCCTCAAGATTTCCCAACAAAAACTCTATTAGAAAGTTAAGTCTTTCCTCCTTGAGCTTAGAGATTGTTCTAAGGGAGGTTTTGAGGATTTTCTTATAAAAGAGGGTTGTAAAGGTTCTCTCTTGAACTTGTCAAGAGAAGAAAGAGTTATAAGAGGGTAGTTGATCTTCACCTATTGAAAGAAGATCAGTAGTGAATGCTGATGGCCTCGACGGAAGAGGAATCGGGAGTTGGCGTAAGTCACGACGACCGAACCACTATAAACTCGATTTGCATTTCTGTTCAGGCTTTCTATTAATATTGCTTATTGATTTACTTGCTCACTACTTTTATGTATGTTGTAAGTTAAACATCTTTTCGACATAGGTTTGATCGAATGAAAATTTTCTAAAACATCAAAGTTTTTACGAAGCACTAATTCACTCTCCCTCTTAGTGTTGAAACGGTCCTAACAGTACAACTCTTGAGGAGACAAGTAAAGTCGAGGAATATTTATCTTCTCAACTCTTAAGAGAATGAGCAAAACTGAGAATCCTAGTTCTCTTATTTATTTAGTAGATGAGCATTATATTAGTTTAAAGACCCTTCAAAGAAACTTAGTAGAAGATAATATTTGTTAAATCCTTACCAATAGTGATCAGTGCTATCGAAAGTTGACAGTTCACTTCATTTTCCAACAAAATACCAATCAAAAATGAAAGTGAAGTGAACCTACTTGGCGATGACAACTAAGTAGAATCAGAATCGATAGGTAAATTTTACAAAGGAAAGACCCAAAAACTTTAAAGTCTGTGAGGCGATGCTCACTAAAGCTTCAACAGACATCCACCCAATTCAAGCGGCATGATACGTTTAAAGAATGGCACATAATAAGTAAGGACTTTTCCTTTATTTAAAGGATTGTGGGAACCAATAAAGATCAACACAACTCAGTCAACTCCACACCATAGTATGGTGGATCAAAGTTCGATTACTCTACAATAATGATGAAGTGCAGTTGGAAACTAAGAGGCATGTAGAGCAAAAGATTAAAAATTCGGTAAAAGCTAGGAGATGTAACGTCCACAAAGGCTTCGACAAGGACATTGAATGAATAAATGGGGGAGTGTCATGGACTAAGCTGCAAACGAGAGTTTAATATAATGCTTATGTATATTCGTGTCTTTCGGTTTTGTTCACAACATGTAAAAGGCTTATGGTAAGCATGACAACTCTATTTCAGTTGGCTTTAGTGGTCATTTTAAGCTTATAAATACAGGTCATGTGTAATCATCATGTAGAGACAAAACTATCTAAAAATAAGCCATCCAAGTAGTTATTTTGGGGTTTTTTTAGCTCTATAGAGTAGTATGGAATTTCAACCAACACAACACCTAGGAGCTACCTGGTTGACACAGCTTGATGGGCTTTTGGTGTAGGATTTAGGATTGGTTCGATACCTCATTTAATAGTAGTATCATATGGGTACTTATATAGATTTTGGGTCATGATGGACCACCTTGGACCTTTTATAACATGATCGTTCAAAACTTGTAAAATCTATATTTGTAACTTATATTGTCTATTAAATATTTACTGAAATAATTAAATATGAATCCCGAGTTAAATATTTTCTCTAACTCATCTTTTTTTAATATCCAAAATTCGATATTGTATGATTTAATTAAAATCAACTAAGTTAATTATATAATGCAAGAGTGTTTTGTTCTTATGGCTTACACTAGTAAGCTAGGGGATTCTATGCAAAAGGGCATGCTCAAGATGGCAGCCAGTTCATGTCAAGGACACAATGGGCCACGAATGCTCAACCTAAGCAACAATTGTTTGCAAGCCACCTTTGCGAAGCCTTAGCATGAGAGTCAAGTCTTCTGAGAATCTCCTACCCGATGCGGCCCTTCTTCTTCTTTCAACTCTCGATCGATACTACAAATACCCACACACCCCATCCTCTCTCTCCATCCCCTCCACAGTCGTCCTCGAGTCTCTTCAAACATAATGGCCTTCGTCCCGCCTCGAATGCCACCGCGTCCATTTGCGCCACCTCCTCCAAAGGTATCCCCGTCTATACCACCTCCGCCGAATCGCCGGAGCCCCCCACCACCCTCACCTTCGAAGCAAACACCACCTCCACCACCTCGCCGCAGACCCCCGCCACCCCCACCTCCGAAGAAAGCGCCACCACCACCGCCAAGAAGGATGGCCCCGCCTCCGGCACCCGTCCGCCCTCCACCACTGGTGCCGCCGCCACCGAGCCCGAACCACACCGTGATCATCGTCGTGTTCGTCTCCCTCGGCGGCCTTCTCCTCCTCGCATGCCTCGCGGCGGCACTGTTTTGCTGCATCAAGAAGAGAAAGAAGAAGATGGCGTTCGCCGTGGACGTGGCGGACCGTGTGCATGTCCACGAGACTGTCGTTCCAGGACCCCATGGCCAACAACTGGCGACCCGGTCGATCGACGAAGATGTCAAAGTTCATGAGGTGTTCAAGAAGGGCGCGGTGACCGGTGAAGCTTCACTTAGTGAGCCTGCATCGGGGAAACAACGCTCGAGCAGCACGATCGGCGGCGCTGGCGCTCCTGTGACGGGTCGCCACCACCTTCTCTGGCACAAAGGCTAGCAGACAACAGAAATGGTCGCCAAAGCTCTGAGAAATATGCATGATGGTTGAATAAGTGTGCTTATTTGATTGTGTGCCTGTTTACACTTGCATTCATTCCATTCATTGTTATCTGCTGTGTGTGTATTGTGATTATTTAAGAGCTGTATTCATTTGCAGATAAGTAATTCGTTCCTCGTATTCAATTTGGATGATTTAGATTATTGTGGCTACCATCAAAGTGATTAGTTTAGGGCATAACTTGGAGTTACGAGATTGTTTTGGATGGTGGCAGGTGCAGAACCTGCATATAACTTTAAGAGGAGGACTATTGACCATGCTCATTGGATCATTAACATGATCATATATGTTAAACAAAGAATAAAAGGAGGAACTTTTTTAGATAAGATATTTTAAGTTTATGATGTGGGGAGATTAAACATATTTTCACTAGGAAAGAAGTTATTTTCAACGACATATATATATCCTTAGTTGAGTAAATAGCTAAATTCTGTGATTGTCATTATCAGACAAAGTTATTTCTTTTTTATTTATATATGTATGAGGCGTTTTGTCATTCATACACTTTTGACTTTCATCAATAATGATGATATCGCTAATAGAATAATCATTTCAGTTATCTCTCCTCTTTTAAGTTTAACCAATTTAAGACGATCAAATTGCATTTGTCAACTATCTATTTGGCTAATCTCATTATATATTTGGCTAATAAAAGCGCTAGTCATTCTTCAAATGAATATATTTCTTTAAATAGTTATGATTTTTTATGATTTAAAATAAGCTTCTCACAATTTGTGTTCAAGATTTTCAATGACTATTTAAATGTAATTTTAAATAATTCGAGAGATCATTCACAGGAATATGAAAACTATGAAAGAATTATATGAACAATTTTAAGTCAATAATATTGGAAATATTCATTTTAGCCCTATGATTTTGATCATTGATCACTTAAGTCCTTATGATTTATTTGTGTCTAAAATAACTCTTATATTTTAAAAAATATAGCATATAAGTCGCTCCCGCCAAATTTAAGTTAACAGAAGTTAGAGTTTGTTTACATGATATGCTAACTCATATAAATCATTAATTTAATGAGATATATTATTTAAGTTTTTTTCTAAAATAAGACTACCACAAATAACAGGAGGAGACATCGTCGTGGAAGTAACTACCGATAGCAGCACCGAGCCTCTATTGCCTAGCAGAGCATCGTATGCACACAACCTCTCCTGCGCTAACAATGAGCTCAAGAACTTGGTCTTGCCTCAGGTGGATGTGCCTCGACTAGTTTGATGCTAGACATGTAGTGGTCTCCTGGCCCCTTCTTTCTCCTCTTGGGCGTCTTCGTCTCCATTGCCTCTCACTTTATCCTCTTTTGTGCCCCCACCCATTGCGCCTATGACGTTATGGTTTAGCTCTCCCTCACCTCTGCCTCCGGCCTCTACTGCTTTCTCTTCATGGACAAGATGGTCCTTAATTTTTTTTTTAATTTAAATTATATGTGTTATTATATTAATGATTTATTATGAGTTAGCATACCAAGCAGACTTTAATATTGTTGAATCTCATATTTTGATGATTAAACCAATTGATAATTGTGTTTATGTTTTAATCTGCGTTTTGAGTGACGCATGATGCTTCGATCAGGATGAAACAATTAAAGCAGGAAGAATCATGTTGTGCCGGGGAAAACATGTCAGAAGATTGGATGTCGGGCCGGAGGATCAGTCAACGTATCGATAGAAGGCTTCGGACCATGGGTTCGGGCATTAGGCTAAGAAGAGCAAAAATTATGCCAAGGAAATCAGAGTTGCGGAGGTCAACTGGTCGATTGGGCAATAGGCCGCAATAGAGGATAATGCGCCGAAGAATCGGACAAAATGTCGATGAACCAATGACATACTGGACAATATTTGATTCAAGCTTTATAATAATTATTTAGATCAAATTAGGTTTTAGGTGTAATTGGGTTAGAATTAGACCAACTTAATTAAGGGACAATTGGGACCAAGTTTGGGTTGTGTTAGGCCAAGTGAAAGGCCCAAATAGTGACCCAACAGATGGAACCATTGGTGGCACAATCTTCAAGACTATGTCAGGCGGTGATACCGCCCAGACTCAGTCTCTAAGACTGTCAGACAGTGGTACTGCTAGTTTGGGCGATGGTACCGCCCAAATAGTCTCCCAAGCAGTAGTACCATCAGACTGGGTGGTGGTACCACCCAACACAAGTGATGGTACCGCTAGTACCCCGAAAATCGAGGATGAAATACTTTTAGGCTCTAAGTTTAAATTCACTTGAGGCCTATAAATACCCCTCTCATCCTTGGTTAATACACATAAGCACAAAGAGCTTAAAAGTGGAAAAACACTGTAGCAATCACTTGAGAGATCCCCTTATCTAGTTCTAAGTTTAGAATTCTATTTAGGGAGGAGTAAGTATCCGTAAAAGGTTCTCCTAAAATTGTGAAAAGGAGAAGAGAGGTGTAAAAGAGTACTTATTCTTCGTCCATTGAAAGAAGATATGTAGTGGAAGCCGATGGTATCGAGTGAAGAGGAATCGGGAGTGGATGTAGGTCATGATGACCAAACCACTATAAAAATCTTGTTTGCATTTCCTTCATGCTTTTTCCTTATACTGTAAACTGAAATCTTACTTTCACTATGCTTCCGTAAGCTTTCAAGTTAAGTATCTTTTGGATATGTTTTTATTGTATGAAGATTTTCGACTCAACGTAATTTTACCGCTGCACTAATTCACCCGCCACCACCCCCCTCTCTCCCACCTCTTAGTATCGACTCGATCCTAATATAAAAAAGTTGCTCGAATGGGACTGATATTTAAGATAGATAGGTCTTAATTCTCTAGAAGGAAAATCATGTGTAACGAACTGCATATGTTAAGTAGGTATACCTCAATACAACAACTCCACAAAGCTCAACGGACCAAGCGAGCGATAAGGAGATATCACATGATGTCACATGAAGTAAGACATTGGTGGATGCATTGTAAGATCAAATATAGGAGCGACCCAAGGCCAACATCAAACAAAAACATACATAGAGTCGATATGGAGATTAGACTCAACAGAGGGCTAACCCATGGAATGGTGAGTGCGAGAGCCATCATCAACACAATGCAACCCAAGGAGTGGAGTAACTTGGATAAAACTTAGTAAAGTGCCCAAGTCATATAAAGGGATTGACATAAAAGGCGAAACAAAGAGTGGAGGCACAAAACTTTTATTCGACAGAGGTTAAGGGTATAAACTCTTGTAGAGTAAGAATGGGATCATATCATTCCATGGGTCTCTTATTTTGATAGAGCGGACTCAACCTATATAGTGTCAAGGTCGAAGGAAGCTTCGAGACACACACCTTATCTCGGTGAAGTAGTTGACGGATGAACTAATGTGACTTAACTTGTGGAGGCGAAGCTAGAGTCAAAAGGCCTTAGTACGGGGCAAGAGGACAAGAGGTAGATAGTATTAAAGAATATGCTACAATGTTACCATTCGAGTTGTCATAAAGGAAGTAGTGTAAAACAGAGATTGTGTTTGGGGGTAGAGGCCTAGGATCTAAATAATGATGCTTCAACTTTAGCAAAGTCAATGGACTTCGGGAGCTACTAAGCAGCGGACTATTCTAGAACTATTCTTCATCCGGGTGTGACCTGAGATCAGGTGGACGAAAATCGATTACTAAAAGAGCGAATATAATCGGATGTGGTGGAGGTTTTACAATATGTTGGTAGTAGCCACACATAGAGAGATCGTAGTCCAAGTTCATCCTATAAAAATTAGAATGCAATGAAGATATCATCAGAATATAATATAATATTATAGATAAAGGCGGAATAGTTCAAGACAATACGGCACATACAAGAGAAGTCTCGCGAGGGACTTGATCATATAGAGGTATGATCATGAGCTACTAGGAGCTCGACTTTAGTAAACAATACAATGACAATATCAACTATAGATTCAATAAGTGAATGTCAAGGTAGCGTAGATATGGGTCTTTGTGTGTGCATCGAATTTTGCATCAGATGAAAGCATTGATCATTAGTATATTGAGGCTATGTACCACCAAAGGTAAATTTCAAGTGCAAGTACTAGTGAGTCCCATTGGGACGAGCTTGATCATATAAAGGTATGATCGGGGTGGCTGGATAGTTGGATTACTCCAAAGCTCTTATTCACTTAAGGGAGTCCAACAAGTTAGAGGACAAAGCTAAGTAAACGTATATTGCTATCAAGGAAGCTAAGGAGAATAGAATTGACACGAGCCTTGCAACATGATGGCGGAGGCAATGCATTAGAGTTATAGTCTATCTTTCCATGAACCAAGGGGAACTGTTCAAAGAATACAAAGGTATTGAAGCAAGGGGTCGAAAGGGGCAACGAAGTAAGACAAGTCCAAAGGGAGTCACCTACCTAAAACTAAGTGTCAGCTACAATGAAGATGGATTCGAATGTGTGCTACAGTGTCGCAGAGGTAGATCAATCAATTGTGAAGAAACAGATAAAGATACGAGGTAGTAGATTGTAGGGCTATAGGAATGATAATACCCAGGAGCTACCTAGTTGATATATAATTGGATAGACTTTTGGGGTAGTATTTAGGGTCGGTTCGATACCTTATTTCATAGTTGTATCATGTGATCATTTGTATGGATTTTAGGCCATGGTGGATCACCTTGGATCCTTTATCGAACAATCATTTAGAACTTGTAAAATCTATCTTTATAACTTATATTACCTATCAAATACTTATGGAAATAACTACTTGAGTTAAGAAGGTTGACCTTTAGTGATAGATATATAAAGGTATTTAATAATTTAATTAAAATCAACTAAGTTAATAACAGAACGTATAATGCGAGTGTTTTGTTCTTATAGCTTACACTAGTAAGTTAGGGGATTCTATGCAAAA